CTTTGCCAAAATTTGTTCTCATCCTTTTGGGAAAGCAAAGCTCGGTGAAATTCAATGGAAACGTCAGCTCTACTCATATCATTGTGGGAAAATTATACTACCACTCCTTCATCACCTTAAACAAAATTGGGTGAATACATCTCATATTACTGATTTACTAAAACTCTACTCAAATACGAAATATAAACTGACGGTCGATGTAATGAGCAAGTAGGATTCTAAAATTTCACTATATCTTGAAGTAGAATGCTACTGGCATAACGCTCATTTCGTTTAAAAAAGCGGATGAAGCCCTGCTTCTCTTAATATCTTGAATTGGAGCTAGAGCTGATTTAGTTTGTTTGAGGTGATACATTTAACACAATGAAATGAATTCGCATCAAGTTAATATAACTTTAATAGATGCACATATAAATTCGAATATTATATAATGGATATTAAGGAAAAGATGGTGTAGCCTTTGGCTTGGTCACAGTCCCACTTCTCTCTGCAGAGTTGGCTTGACCCAGTTTTCACAACTTTTTAGTGTTTTCTGTCATTCTTCAACTCACCTCAAGCGACTTAGGGCGACTATGTTCATATACAAGGATTACTGCTAGTCTCTAATCCTAATTACGTCTCGCACCATCACATGGTTAGACTTTTAGATACTCCGATGGAATTGAAGCCTGCATAGTCAATAAAAAGGGTCAACATTTGCACACAGCTACAGTTCGCTAACGTGACAAGTAAAATCAAACTTCTCGACAAATTTTCTGTGGACTATTTTAGCACCTCTCCCCAGCCCCCCTTCATATCTATCAGTTGGTAGGTCAAATGGCTCAATGAGGTCGAATTTATGGATGAGTATACAGTAATATGAAATGATACATGTTGTAATTGATGATCAAAGAATTGGCACAAAGACACCACGACGATTGCGCCGGAACTTCTGGTTCGTATTCACTCACAGATGAATTATCTTAAGAAGACACAGTATGGGACACGTTCTTCCAAGTCACCCTTAAGAGGAGACTAAGTCGGAAGACGAGGCCGCAGCAAATTTGCGTTGAAAAACCAACAATTGGGCATAAGCTGTAGACACCAACACATCAACGTACTCCGTCTTGTGACTTACGACAGTGGATTCGCCTGGTGCAGTTTAGCTGACCTCGCTCCGTGCACTCGCATGAGGCGCATGGGATTTGCACACGCACACCCGCCTCCACAATGTCGTCTTCATGAACCTCTTCCATCGGGTGGGTCAAGCCCCAGGAGCCGTCTAACTCTATCCACACCGTACCCCAGTCGACTACGCCGCTCTTCAACTCTATCATCCCTTCAAGTTGCTCCCGACTGCTGCCAACATCATAGGCGCTCAAATTGACGGGCGACTCCATGTTGGATTGATTGATGCGCTGAGGCGAGAGATCGAATGCCGCTTGCAGACGTTCTGTCGTCAACAGACAGTAGCAGGAACTGGAGGTACAGGCCTCCTCCTCTTCTTCCACTTCATTGTGATTCAGACCCGACTCCTCCTCTGTCATACTCGCCGTCGTGTCTCCCGGGGCCAGCCCCGGTGTCACACTGACCGGAAGAAGCGATCGCTCGCAGATCCGAGCTCGTTTGCGCAGGCCCTTACCGCAGAGGGAACTACAGCTCGTCCATTCACTCCAAGCCTGACAAATCTTCGCCTCGACAGAGGGAGGGATGGTGGAGAGGGTAGTAGAACTCGTCTCTTCTGAAAAAAAGGTATAAAATTTAGCTTTTTACTCGAATAAAGGTAGTAAAATTATATCTAGTCAAGCGGTATGTGGAAATTTTCAATCGTTCCTCTGACCTAATTTGGCCGTAGTCTCCTTTAACGGCAAAAAAGGGTTTTACCTCACTTTCGGAACCTGTTTTTGGCTCCAGTTAGACCTAGGGGAAGAAGCCGAAAGAGAATGTGATAACGCCTCACTAAACCTACTCTGAAAAATCACAAGAAAAGTAAAGTAAAAACATCGAAAGAGGGGGTGAGATACGAGTAAATTAGACTGAAGGAGGTGAAATATCACAGCCGTTCATCAGGCAGTTGATAAAAGAATGCATACATAAAAGGTCATTCTCATCCAGCCTGAATTGCAGTTTCGATCTCGCCTTATCGTTTCAAAAGAGCTCCAGCGGGATTGGGATCGCGGATCCGTATTCCAAGATTCAGACGCGTAACTCATTAAGTCCTAGGACCCAAATTAATGTGGTTTCCACGATAAGCATAACTTCCAAGTCAACGTCCAATATAAAGTCGTTTAAAACTGAAACATTTCGACACGTACCAGATGTTGTATAGCTTCGAAATAATATCTATCGAGCTGAATGGCGTACCCAAGACTGCATATTAAAACGAAATCCTCCACAAAATATTGTGATGTGGAGATGGCATTGTTAGCTTTGAAAGTTAGGCTTGCTTAGTTACTCAATGGGACTATGATCTTGTAGTCTATGAAGTCTAGAGCCATCCCCTTAACCCATATTAACTTTATTCTAATCTCTTCCAGTCGAAGTAAAGGCTTGAGTCGAGCTCGGAGGAAAAATATATTATGGGATTTATAGCGATGTAAAATGCAAATTCAAATTAAGTTCTTCTCTTCAATTCAACATGGGCAAATTAGCAACCATTCAGATATAAAAACTAATCAAAATAGGCATACTTCCGTATCTTACTTACTCAAAAATGTATTTTTTTAAATCATTATTATGTGGACTTAGGAATGATTGGACAACTTAAATTAGGTAAATGTCGTCTTAAATTGTAGTTATAGCTACGGTCACGAAGTCAGATGCGTCTAAAAACATAACTTTCTTTGTTAAAGGCAAAGTTTGAAGTCTCAGTCGCCCAGATCGTAATAAGTTATGAAAAATTGCATTTCCAGTCCATCGGAGGCATAATCCGAGACGGAAGTGTTATAATGGGTGGTTTCGTAACCCTATTTACATGCGTACAAGTTTACATCTCATTATCTCAACCAGAGTTGCCTCGATCAGGGGTCTTTATTTTGGTCATTAAGCCTTGTTAACCAAAGCTCTAAATTATAACTGGTATTGCGTACAGACGCACACGCACAAGAATACATTTATAACCAATTTTGTCATTAAAACCAAATCCCGTCACACTAGACCTTAAATCGCCATAAGCGATGGGGGACCACAAAGTACCTATTCAAAATTTCCGGATAGTTTTGAAGTCTATTCATCTCGAATAAAAGTATATTTCAATCAGGAGCAATTTAAACGTCGAGAATATATGCATTCCTCTGAAGAGCTGCAAGAGTTTGCTAAGCTTGTGGCCTCTTAGAGTTCTTAATGAAAGGAAACCTTTTAGATTAATTATAAAAGACACTGGGTTGTTTTCGCAACTTAGTCATATTGGCATGAAGACCTAAGGGAACGTATCTTGTCCAGAGGCCATAATATGCATGATAATTTGAGTCGAACCGTGGACTTGGTATATTCCCAGACGCCGT